TTTTTAAGATCAGACTGGCTGAAGACAGAAAGATGCACGTCATGGCAACGGCGCCTTTAAGCGGGCTTTTATTTTTGGGGTACGTTGCACGTGTATGTGCCGTTCACTTTTACATACGTCACTGATGTGGGACGTAAACCATGCTATGAACGCTTCGGAAGTGTCTGATCGATTGGTTGCTCAAGTGGTATAAGTGGTAAGTGGTATGTGACCCAAAATGCGGCCATTCACAGCAATAGAGCGGAGAAGGCAGCATGTCCGTAACCTGTGTCAAATCAAACGCAAGTTCTGCGAGACTTCTGTGAGCAAAGAGCTGCCAGTTGTATGAAATTTGTGATTTGCAAAATACACTATATGCATATTTTCCTGACATCAAAGCACAAATTTCTAAATTACCACAACCCGAAGCCAACCATGAAACCGAATGTCCGCAAGCATTCGATTATGGTTATAAGCACAACCAATCTAGCTGAACCCATGCTGACGTGTCCAATTTCAGTTCAAAGAAAAGCAATTCAGCTTCATAATGATGCTATCGTGTTATGCGGTAATTTGCAGTTTGTACATCTCGTAGGTTATCCGAACAAACGTCCACACCCTTTCTTGCGGAGTATCCCGGGCAGGACGTAGCAAACTGTATGGGGTAAAGAACATGACGACAACAATGGAGTAAAGAACAATGACCTTCTGTGGCAAACGTTCTTTCTTCTCTAAAAAAGATTTCCTTTAGACGGTAAAGTTCCTCCAAACGGAGCGCTCGGTCAAAGATTCTCCTTCCCGCCCGAGGCCTCTGCGCGGGAGGGCCCAAATGCCAGCCCGGTAGCTTTCCATCGGCGCAGTAGATGGCAAGGGGATCGGTGGAGTACGCCGCCAGCGCGGCGGCAAATGTGGCGCGCGGCCCCGCCCGCTACCACCCAGACCCATCCGTGCTCGTGGGCCTCTGCGTTCTGCGTTACCAGCGCCCGTTGATGGACGGCCAGCGGACCTCTAACAGACAGTCAAGCCCCCCCAGCCGCCGGGGCGAAAGGGCCCGCGCCGGCCGGCTTGTATATAAGGTGTCCGCGTGCGAGTCGGGTCGTCACTCATCATCATGAAGCTTCTGGCCGGTGCTGTGCGCGTGCGCGCTCTGGTGTCGCCGCCGGCCGAGGAAAGGTCGGAGAGTGCAAGGCAAACCCTCCGACGGCCAAGCTTAGGCTATCGCCTAGGGCTAACCTGTAACCAAAGCCGTTTCCTGACCATGTGACGCAGCCCAGAGCAGATCAAGCTGCAGGACGCTCTGGACGATCAGGTGGAGGCGCGACATGAATGGGGAGCATCCCATCCGTTCGGCGGTGAGCAGCTCGGGGTCGGTGACGACGTCCCTTGCCGGTGTGACGTGGCAAGGCGCCCGGCTGGGCTGAGCGGGGAGGGGGGGGGGGGGTAAGCTGGATGAATGTTCGTAACTAGCGTCGGCGTGCCAGTTGGCAGTGCTGGCTTTCCAGAGCGGGAATAAGGCACCGGAAGTTTCGGAACTTTAAAATTCCCAAATGCTTACTTTCACCACGTTCTTCATGTTTTCTTTTACCTGTCTAACAGTGCACTGCGCCCGTGTGAGTTTGGACCCGTGTCGTTTCTGGATCAAGCGTACCGCTCTTTCACCCACTGACCGGAGCACACCTTGCCCCACCCTCCCTCAGTGGAAAGCGACCTTCGACGGCACCGACAGGAACACCTTCTCTCAAATCTACAGCATCATCTCACCTGAGGTGAAGGGCTTCAACGGCATCGGAATGTGGGTCCAGAACACCGTCTCCGACGTCATGGTCACCTGGCACCATGGGGCGGCCCTCAAGGTAAGACAGACGACAGGGTCAGACGGAGAAGCCTGCGCTTTCCCCACAGACATTGCCGACGCCGGTGCACGGAAACAAATGCTCGAACCAGAGAGGTGGAAATCTCGCATATTTATGGGGAGCGCTTCAGCATTTTAAGTGAACTCTTAATCCGCAACACGCATGGCGCCTCTATTCACATCTGGGGTCATGGTGAGCCCGCAAACACAAAAGTAGGAATAGTCTCAGATATAAGTAGGAAGGGTCTCTGGTGTAAGTATGAATAGTCTCTGATATCAGCAAGAATTGACAGCTCTTTCAGTGGTGAATGCGTTTGATGGTCCCAGAAACGAGACCTGTTTTCATTAAATCTTCATCGAAGGAGTGATTGGAACACTTGTGCTCACGAGCCTAAATAGCCCCTGTAGTAAGGGCAATATGGTGGAAATAACTCAAAGCCTATATTATTTGCTTATACTGCTTAATTAGCGCAGTGCCGCTGTCGTTGCTTCGCGACTTAACCTGATCACGCCATCGCGTTCCAGATCCACATGTTAACGGATGGAGGAGCCCACAAGGAGGCCGTGCTCGGCAATCCTCTGGACTACGACGGCGCTAAGTTCGCCGTTGTCATCCCCAAGTCCACCTTCTGCACGGTCGAGTCTACCTCGGATAAGACCTTCGCCTTCCTCTCCTACATCGCCATCCCAGGTAAGTGGTTTTTTTCGCACTGGAGATAGAAATCCATGCCTTGTGGGTTAAACCACAGTTTGTGCATGACTTTAGGTCCCAGTACAAGTTAAGGCCGACATTGCCTTGTTGAATTTGACGTGCGTGACATTAAGACAAAATAGCACACGGAACATGCACCACAATTAATGAATATTGTTCTCTTTTGCTATTTAAGTCATCTGTAAATGACTGCATCTACACGCGGTGCTGTTCGAGCAATTTGAAAAAAAACGTGCAACTAAAATGGCTAGACCATTAAGCTATTGAAACATTCCTTACCCAAATTTGTTACTGCACATATTTATTAGTGGACAGGCCACGCGTAGACCACAGCTGTCAATTTCTCTTCATTGCAGGTTGGACGATGGAGGGACACAATGAGTTTTCGCTCAAGGACATGGAGGCCAAGTTCCCTGATCACTCGGAACTCTTCAAGGCTCTGGCCACGCCGGGCATCAGCAAGAGTGGCCACCACGACCGCCATGATGATCATGATGATCACGATGATCATGATGACGACCATCATCACGGCCATCACGGTCACCGCAGACACCGCCGTCGCTAGTCTTTCACAATGTGATGGTATGCTGCATACAAGCATATCTTCGGTTTCGAGGTGGACCTCAGCAGCAAAGTGACCCGTCACGATCGCCACTCACCAGTGACACACTCACCTATCACGTCAATAAACTCGGAGTGCAGGAGCCAACAACTCTCTGCACGGAATGTGGCGGCTCGAGCCGAGTCGAACGCGTGACCTGCGATTGTGTAGCCCGCTGAGCGAAACCGCCGAACCGTCCAGCCATTGAAGGTATAAATCAGGCGACGAATGAGGTATCTGCTGGCATTGTCAACGGAGGCACCAGCTCCAGACGTCCGTGTCGCAGTTTTCCCTCGCGGGCCGACACGAGGGGTGTCTCGCGGGCCGACACGCAGTTTTCCCTCGCCGCACCACAGGGCTGCGACCGTCGGGGCCTCAGTGTCCTGGGCTGCTTGCCGTTGCAGGACCGGCCGTGGTCGCTGCGCAGAGCCTCGCGCCCTGCTGTCTTGATCCGGAAGCCAGCACATGTCAACGACTGAGACACAGGACTGAGGCGCGCCACGAGAAAACCCCTTGCGTGTCTGATAGTAAGTTACATGGAACGTTTCATATACTACCGCGGATTTCATAGTTTCGCTACACAGCCAAAGAAATACCAATGCTTATTAATAGCAGTGAAAGGACCTTAGAGATCTGAATGCCGCTGGTAGAGGGGGAAGGCATGTTAAGAAATTCCTTTCTTTCTTCCCGCTCAAAGCACAGCCGAAGATGTCATAGCTGCTCCGCCATACAGAGCCAAAAAGGCCGTCATCGGGTCACTGCTCTTCCCTGCACTCGTTGTGATCGCCATTCGGTGTCGATCCTCGGCGACCGCACGTTATTGTTTCCCTACCGTCCACCGTTCCGGCCCAGCGTGGGTCAACAGCGGTCTGCGGGTACCCAGCCACTCCAGCCACTCCAGCTGGAGTGATCAGGTCATCAGGCCACTCCGGGAGCGGCAGCCGCCACTGGACGTGTTGTCGTCTGCTGCAGACAGTCCGTCCGATTCAGGTTCGGGTTCAGATGTGTATTCGTCAAGGATTCCCTGTCCGGTTCAGGTTCGGGTTCAGATGTGTATTCGCCAGGGGCCCACAACCATGCTGGTTTTATCTGACATCAGTAAAAATAAAACGTTGAGGATGAAGATGTGGTCACCCCCTAACGAAGCACAGAGTGCATACACCGATTTTTCAGTGGCGTCTTAACATGATCGCACGTTTTAAACCTCCAATGAATAATGGTAGATGCGGATCAACGTTGGTACGCCTCAGTTTAGTGACTCTTCGGAAGCACAGTCGGCGCCCGTCCGTTTCAGTTTCAGCTCAGGCTCGAGGTGCCTATCCGAGAGGGACGGGGGAGGGCACAGCAGGCAGTGGCCTGTCTTTCCACAGACGTGCGATGCCCGGAGGTGGTGTGTTATTCACTTGAGCAATATGTATGACGTGATTCGTTTCACTAGTTGTCGCATGCGATATTAAATGCTGAACAAACTGCGACAGATTTAAGTGGCATACAATCCCGCTTTGGAACACTATGTGTGATGTTTCTATAATTCCAAGTATTCCATTGAGTCCACGCAAGGAACGCACAGGCCATCTTGTTCTCGGACGAGCGACAGTGCTAATTCGCCACCCGAGAAGTTTGGATGGGTTCTGGGGCGAGAAGCAATGCAATAGCATACTATTTTTGATGGACAAGCTGATGTCTTTAACTAATTTAATGTTTTGTCCAGAAAAAACATACAGGTGTATCTGTGTACGTGATTCCAAGTATTGATATCGAAGCTGGCATGACCTTGTATAAAGCAAAATACCACAGTCTGTATAAACACACTGTGGTGAGAGCCTACATAACAGCCGTAATCACCGAGCCATTGTATTGTCCACCGTGCGGCAGAATCTTGGTCAGCGGTCCCTGGCATTGCGTTTGTTGTCCTGAACGTAGTGTCTAACCACGGACATCAGGTTTAATGTCAGATTTGGCCATTGATTATAAGTTATGTTTCCGTTGCATGGTGTCAAAATATCGTCTAAGCTTCAGGCTATCGACGTTAGCCGTACATTTACGTTCGAAGCACAAGGAGGGAAAATCATTGCAAACACGCGCGGCGTTTCGCCAGCCAACCTCGCCTAAGGGGGTTTGATGACGCATTCAACAGCTCGCGTCATTGAGCGTCGAAATCCCCGCGCTGCTCCCCGCGGTGGACCCTGAAACCCTTGGCCCGGAGCCAGGCTTGAACTTCCATCCTACACTTGTGACGCGACCGCTCTCTCGGCTGGGCTAAGCTTTTCAACGCGCAACAATTGGGAGCTGCGACAGAGGGGTCCAGAATGCAACAAGTAACGCTCCTAATGCAAAGAGGAATTATTTGTTTTCAACTCATTAACGCTGCTTCAAATGTAGCAGTCAGGAGGGCGTAATTCCTTGGTGCTGGTCAATTTTGTATCCGACAATAATCCCGTGGTTGATCTGTTCCGAAGTCAACACGATCAGCCGTCCATGGCCTTTGAAGCCGGCCAGGCCCAATGCAACCGCGCGGGGAATAACTCGCCGTGAATACTATTTTCCCTGCACGAAGGGCAATCCTTATTCCAGGGAGGGGGGGGGGGGGCGGACGACATCCAACTCAGTATCATCGGGCCGGGCCCACCGGGGACCAGCCGGCTGACAAGCGACTGTGGCGGGGCAACGACACCAGAGGCTCACCTCACAGCACCAAAGGCTCGCCTCAACCGGCGGAGAATCGGCAGTCAGGCACCAGGTCTACGTCGCCAGTGGAGGGAGCGGTAGTGTCCTACACCAGATGCTCACCTCACCGGAGGAGGGAGCGGTAGAGTCCGTGCAAGCTCAGGAGTTCGCAACCTCACGGATGGAGGGAGCGTAGTCCCGCAGCAGAGTTTTCCACCTCAGCAGAGTCTCACCTCACCAGTGGAGGGAGCGGTAGTCCGACACCAGAGTCTCACCTCACCGGAGGAGGGAGCGGTAGTCAGGCACCAGAGTCTCACCCCACCAGTGGAGGGAGCGGTAGTCCGACACCAGAGTCTCACCTCACCGGAGGAGGGAGCGGTAGTCCGGCACCAGAGTCTCACCCCACCAGTGGAGGGAGCGGTAGTCAGGCACCAGAGTCTCACCCCACCGGAAGAGGGAGCAGCAGTCCGGCAGCAGAGTTTCACCTCACCGAAGGAGGGAGCGGTAGTCAGGCACCAGAGTCTCACCTCACCAATGGAGGGAGCGGTAGTCAGGCACCAGAGTCTCACCCCACCGGAAGAGGGAGCAGCAGTCCGGCAGCAGAGTTTCACCTCACCGAAGGAGGGAGCGGTAGTCAGGCACCAGAGTCTCACCTCACCGGAGGAGGGAGCAGCAGTCCGGCAGCAGAGTTTCACCTCACCGAAGGAGGGAGCGGTAGTCCGGCACCAGAGTCTTAGCTCACTAGTGGAGGGAGCAGCAGTCCGGCACCAGAGTCTCACCTCACCGGCGAAGGGAGCGGCGATCCACCGATGGATCCGTGCACATAATATGTGCACAAAATAACATAATTATCTCTGCACTACGGAAATCTCGTCAGGGACAGGCTTGCGATTGTCTGATTATGTGCTGTTAGAATATCAGTCCACTGGGACGCTGCGATGAGGCACGAGCGCACATAAGACTGGTCTCCCTGGGGAATAGTATTTGGTAAGTATTTGGCAGTGCAACGCATAAGGGCCGCCGCTTCTCGTTCTGACCATTCCCGAGTTGAACGCCAGAGCCTCGCCGATAGACTCATTTCCGAGAGACTTATACATGAACTTTTAGTGCAACAAAACGAGAAGGAAAAGAGAGTGCTCGGCTATAAAAAGAATGTGTGTAACACTGAGTGGCGCATTAGTAATCAATACCTTCGACAGGCGACACCGCTGCTCTCCATCACGGGAATGCTCGTACTTAACAACGCATAGCAAAATACAACCATCATAACTGGCGAAACAGCAAAAATTTCGCTCTTTCAAACGTCAACAACTTTCCAAGCACCATGAGAACGATCATTTTGCGCTCCGGTGGTAATGGCTGCACCCACATCAGCAATCAGCTGATGCTGAGGGTGGGGGGGAGGAGATTCCTAGCCTGCGGTGGAGTGGCATGGAGTGGGAGGCTCCCCCACCGCTCTCATGCAGCCCAGGACGCCTCTCCCCCCCCCCCCCCCCCCCGGTGCGCTCTTCGCCGCCGGTGATGGCGAAGCAGTGGCCTTTCAGCACGCGGAGGACACGGACGCCATTTGGACAGAAGGAGACCAACATGGCGCGGGGCTGTGACCGACAGCTCCATGGATCCGCCGTGGGCTCCGGCGGGGCACGGGCTGACCTGGGCGGCAGTCGGTGGCGGCAGTGACGTTACAAGACCCGGGTCTCACGTAGGAGCCCTGAAGATAACGGCCGATAAATCATGGCTTTGAAGCTATTATGCCCACAATGATGGGCATTCAGCATACGGGGAGGTACTGGTTAAACGATTAGCAAGCAAACATTGGTTATATTGTTGGGAGTCTCACATATAACCGATGTTTTCTAAATATCGTGGTTTACCCGGTACCTCATTGCATGTTGAAGGTCAGTAAATGCCAGCATATGAATTTTAAACCTACGCAAGCAACAGCGAAGGAAACAGCGCCGAAACGCCGGGAGCTTACGGATTGCCTTGCTCGCACCAGGCGGAAAAATCATCCACATCAGCATTACCACATCAGGTTTACGGTTTGATATACCGCAGGGTTCAAGGCCGCATGACGCGTCGACGTCAGCCTCTTGACCTTGACATTCCCATGCTTTTTCTCGTTGAAACATTCGCCTCAACCAACGTGACCCCATCGAGCAGCCGTCCGAGCATCCGCGTCCACATGAACACCCTACAACTCACAATTAGATTACTCCGCGTCCATTAGTGCTCGCGCCAGGACAGAGACGCATAATGCTTCAGGCGCCCTGGGGGTCCACACGGTCCGAAGGACGCCCCGCAGGCCCCGTAACAACCGCCGGCGGCTTCCTGGAGCCTCACGTGCCGTCGTCGGCACCCTGGCAGCGTGGCTGAGCGCGGCGGGCCGGCGACGTCGGTCGGAGCGGTGTCGGTCGCGCGAGACGGCCACATTAGACCCGGTCGGCGAGCGGCCGCGGGGCGGACACGACCGCGGCGGGCCCGGAGGCGTCGAGCGGGGCCGACGCTGAGCTCAACGCCGCCCTAACGATCTCTCTGTCCAGGAGGCTCGGGAACTGGAGGTGGGCTGGGAGCGATGGACACTACGGACTGTGCTGGCTATTGTCCTCGTCTGGTGTGTACACTGGCACACCAGGCAGGAGCAATAGTCGAACAATGATCCCCTCTGCAGCAACGATGCCTCGTCTCAATCAGTCGGCAAAATGGCGCGCGTTTTCAGGCTCAAACGAAGTCGTTCGGATTTTACTGTGTGTTACGAGCACACGTGGTTTACATGCTAACAAATACAAAAATATCAACGGAGTGTCACAAAACGGAGTGATGATCACGTGGAGATTCACGACATACGAATTCAGCGGAACAACCGCGATGCACATATCTTCGACAACATTCGCTATCAGACAGACATACGCTACCAGCCGGCTTCCAGACCATTAGCGGCAGGCCCGCGGCATGTCGGTTGGTCCGCTGCCCGCCTCCGAATCAAGACCACTGCCAAGCCGTCACCGCCCTGCATACGTCATCTCAGCTGCGCAACGGCAGACTCTGCAGGCCCCTCTCATCAACACACGAGCGTACATACAGCAGGCAAGACATGACCGTGGGCTGGACTTGGACCTCAGCACCTGCAGCTGTCAAGGCTCCGCCTCGGCGGGACGCGGTCCGCACTGAGGAGGTGCCAGGAGCCGGCTGACGGCGCTGACAGCGCCCGCCGAACACGGCTACCTCGGCCTCCTCCTCGACCGACGCGGTCCGGCTCTGTTCGAGGGGCCCGCCTTCGTCCGAGCGGCACTGGTCGGCGTAGCCCCCGGCAGTACCTCACTCCCAGCGGATGTGGCGCCTGGAGCGCCCGACCGGCACCGGTCGGCGTAGCTCCCGGTGGTGCCTCACTCCCAGTGGATGTGGCGCCTGGAACCCCCGACCGGCACCGGTCGGCGTAGCCCCCGGCAGTGCCTCACTCCCAGTGGATGTGCTGCCTGGAGCGCCCGAGCGGCACCGGTCGGCGTAGCCCCCGGCGGTGCCTCACTCCCAGCGGGTGTGGCGCCTGGAGCGCCCGAGCGGCACCGGTCGGCGTAGCCCCCGGCGGTGCCTCACTCCCAGCGGGTGTGGCGCCTGCAGCCGGGGCCGGGCGCGGCGGGGAGCTAACCCCGCTGCCGCCCGCGGTCTTCCTCGGGTCAGTTCAGGGCGACTGATGCCAGCCGTCAGCCGGGCAGGCGACCTCGACCATCTTAATGTTACGTCAGGTCAGGTCGGTTCAGCCCCGCCGCCCACGGATGGCCGGTCGCCTGCGGCCGGCGCGGCTGCCGCGTCTGACCGGTTCACAGCTCGCGTCCGGCCCGCTCACAGCTCGCGTCCGACCCGCTTACTGCTCGCGTTCGGCCCGCTCACAGCTCGCGTCCAGCCCGCTCACAGCTCGCGTCCGGCCCGCTCACAGCTCGTCCCTGTGCCGCGCGCGGTGACACTGGCAGTCGCCGAAGCGCCGGTTGTGGTCCGGCGGATCCACCCGCTCCATCTGATCCCGCACCTTCACCGGCCTCTGCAGCCGCCAGCTCCACTCCTGCGGCACGGCACGGGTCGTCACGACAGCAGAATGGGGGAGGGGAGGGGGAGCCGTGACCTTACCACACGCTGGGACGTCCCGCACGACAAGCTCGGTTCCATAATGATGGGACGATCCATGACGGCTCAGTGCAAAGCCGGCTGCGATAGATAGCACACCGCGATGACCCGGAAGGTGAAAACTAACGAACAATTACAAACACATAGTGAGAAATGCACAGCTGGTGCAGCCGGGCCCGCTTTCAGGGCCTGCGCAGCTTGGAGGGGTTTTCACGTTAACATGGGTTTTAGGGCGGCTTCTAACCGCGCTTTGCCAAGAGGTGTGCTCCCAAGCTGTCTGTCTCGTGTCTGCACGGCAGGACATGGTCACAAGGTAAGATACGGTCACTTTCAATCGCTCAGAAAGATGGGTTAGGCTCCAACGCGGTTCTTGCTGATTAATAACGCCAGTGTAAAGGAATTCAAAATATTCCTAGCACGATGATACGTAATTGAGCTAGTCGTAACTTAATATTCGCGGGTGGCAAATGACCATGCCGAGGAACGCGCGCGGCGGGCCGACTTTGCTAATTAACGGGGCCATACATCCTAAACTTATGTTCAAAACACATACAAATTACACACTGCACTCAGAATTGAACAAGGAGCACGCCTGTTTAGGACTCGTGCCGCCATAAGGCATGGCATCGTAGGCATGAGATATATATCTGAAAACGTGCGATTCCTTGAAAATTCAACATAAGACTTGCCGTAATTGGGCTAATTATTGCTCTAACGGCATAAAACTCCAACCAATCGCGATATCTCGTTACGAACTACTGGTGCTTTATGCCAGGCTCTATCTGTATTAGTTTGGAAATGTCAGGGGGTCGCATCAACCCCTTCCCCCTTCTCAGTCGGTGGTATGAAACACAGTGAATCAAGGGGAGGGTTATTTCATGTCAAAATATTCGTGTCGTGATTGCAAGCCTGTTTTTCAAACGCCACACTTCGGCATGTCTCAACCTCGTGGGTGAAGCGGCCCCCGTGTAGAGAATGTCCAATAAAATGACAAAAAATCAAATGAATTTTCGCAAAGATTACTGTCCCCCCCCCATACCGTCTCCACACCCCCTCCCTATGGCAACGTCCGACGCAGGGTCAGCGTGCCAAACAGCATCCACGAGTCGTGGGCGTTGTTTACGCGATCCCTCACCCACCCACGCGCTGTCACGCCTCTGTAAACAGGCCTGCGTGACGCGGCCCGGCCGCCACCTCCAGCAGGATCCTGCCGGGCCGCCGGCACCGGAGCCAGAGCCTCATCACCGCGACACCGCCGCGTTCAGAGTCAGAGGTAGCTCCAACGTCACGTGCATTATCTTTGTCTTACATCTATTCGTTTTAAAGTGAAGTTGAAGGCGATGCTTCAGCCGAGCGTTGAGCGGTATTTGAAAATGGTTTCCGATGCGCACTGTTGAGGGCCACAAAGTTACACCTTCATTTGTTATCAGCGTGCCAGTAAAACGGCCACGTCATGGGACCTCCCATTCATTTGGCTGAGCCAATTACACCTAGCCAATCAAAAATTTCTGTACTTAGAAAATGTCCGTGGTGGAGGGTGGAAAGCACATTTCAAACTAGAAATGTTTAATCGACGAAGGACTATAATAATACTATGAGGATTCCAAGCGCCTACCGCACTTGTCGCATCTCGAAAAGTAGCGTGCACTTCCATGGCACTCAAGTCATCAGATTAATAAAGTAGTTGTTCGCCTGCGCGCGCCACGCCGACCGCTGTTGATGACAGCCAGCCACATCCTGTCAGAATATCTCCCGACAAAGTCTCATACTAACGTCAAATCTGAACAAAAATGCACCCTAAAAATGATACTGGTACATATGGTTGACCCCATACACTTCCATACCCAGTCCCACCTGACGTCCATCGTCGCCCACTGGCGGAGGTGTTTATTAACTCCCGCCAGGCGTCGATGGCGGCGGCACCTTTTAGCTTTATTGGGGGCATATTCCGGATCACGCAGCGGACCACGGTGAAATTAGGGCCACAAGTTTGAAAGTATTTTCCAACAGATCTGGCCTAGGCTTCTTTCGTGTCAGACCGCTGAGATCAAAATATTTCTGACATATCTGGCTTAAGTTTCTATCGCGTCAGACCACTGAGATGAGACCGCGTTCTTAGAAGCCTGTGCGACGCACGTATCGAGAGCATCAGTCGCGCCGGAAATGTTGGGCACCGCACGCACGGTGCTGTCTTCTCTCATGTTGCTGACGGCGTGGCAAGTCATATTTCGAGCGCTAGTAGTGACCTTGTCCCTGCAAAGATCAACTTAACGTCAAGGTTACATTAGGTCAAATACTCAAGTTAACACAAAATTTACCCCGAACAGCTACTTCACGAACCGAAATGGCCGCTAACTGTGATTTAACAAGCGGCTGGGTGGCCGGTTGACTTCGCTCCGGTAGGAGAGGCGAGGGGGTGAATTCGACCCTAAGATCTCAACAATAAGAAAGCTAAATGTACCAAATTCCTGGGGTCGATTAGACCGTACGTGAACTCACTTCCGTAAAAATTTGAAGTACCTAGGTCATGACCTTCGGGTCAAATACAGTACTTTACAATACAATACTTCGGGTCAAACGAGGCCCAACTCCAGATTTGTGTCCGAAACGACCCCAGACTTACTTATGCAGCCACCATGAACCCAGATATTTGTTCTAATTTAAAGAGCACTGGTGTTCATTTTGTAAGTGACTTTGTTTGACCTTAAGAGGGTTATGATGATCCAAAATCCGACGAGATTGTTATGTCAATGACCTGCTCTTACCTGGAAAAGTCAGTGTAACATGTCTGCTGCGCCTTCGTTGTCAATAAATTTGAAATGAACACCAGAAACAGTCCCATACAGCAAGCTCTAGGTTAAAAAAGCAAGTTGATTTAGACCTCAGTTTCGACGTTCGCACCTCACCTTTGGTGATTGGAATTTCTCATGATTAGGAATGCAGTTGCTGCATTACCTAGAAAATTATCTCAGAGACATACGGCTTCGTTTGATGGCTTCGTACGTTTTCGTCTGAAAATAGCTTTGCTGAAAGCTACGACCTGGCTTAAACCTTCAAAAGGTCAGCGACCGTACAAAAAGATCCGCTAGTCAATTGCCTACAGTTATGCAATGTTCGGCGGGGTACACCGCGCCGCTCGGAAACTATGCCGTAAAAAACTTCGGGATTAAACTGACCGCCACTCCAGCGCGTGTTAAATGTCATTCAAGATTCTTGGTTGGATTGGATTCTTGATTGTTGCGCTTTAAATCGGCCGTTGTGATGTTCGCTCATCTTTTACAGTAGGGCTTCTTTTGCTTCCGGTGCACCTAAATATAAAACCAACCAAATGTCATCTATATTCAAGGTCATCCAAGATCAAGGTGGGCGCGTATGCTTGAACCTGAGCCGACTTTACTGAGGTAGACATGGAAGCAACAGAGACGAGTGTTTTGCCCTCATTTGACACAACCTCATGGGCAAACAAGATTGGGCCAAAAGTTTTAAACTTGTTTATTTTAAAATGAACGAATATTTTGGTTCTAAAAGACAGCTGTTTACACGGAAGGGTCATAAGCAAGACGATTGCAAGCTTTCAAACTTACTTTACGCCTAACCGCTACTGACCAAAAACCCTGAAATCAAAATACCTTTACGCGCCTTATTAGGTATACTCGCTTTACAAGATGTACATCCCAGTGTCAAAATTTCGGAACATTATTACAACGAAAAGCTAAAGGTCTGGGTAAAGCTGAAAATACATACGTACGTCAACCATTATCAGTACGCTCGATTCGTATAAGTACGTGAACAATGTCAAACCAAAAGGGCGCAGTGAAAGCTGTATAGTATACAAGAGATGAGCCTACGGTCTTCAATCCTTGCGTTGGTACATCGATCCCCCAATACAATGAACATCTCCCTTCTAAAAGTCCAAGCGCAAACGTCGTAATCCCCCCCCCCCCTCGATTTGTGGTTAAATCTACGCTTAAATACGGCTCAAACGGTACCGCATAACACAACATAAAAAACACGACATCGCGCCAACGAGAAGTCGAACACGCCCGTTAAACTAACGACCATTTTGAAACCGAATTGGCCAGCCGCCCGCCGGGAAGGAGTGTGTCAAGGGCACGCCGAAGAGTGGTTCTCGTGACATGTCGGTCACCCCGCCACCCAGCAGCCAACCCTCACCTGACCTTCACGTGCCGCCACGGTCAGGCGCCGCGGCAGCCGGTCTCACGTCTGTTCGGGCGGCAGGCGGGGTGGCTGCCACACCGCCGTGCGGGAATCAGCCGTCGGTTTCGCAGATGGCCGAGATCAATTTAGCCGGCGCCGCTGGATTCCCTCCCAGGAATTACCCCAATCGTAACGGGGGAAATGTCATCCATTTTCACGGCTCACGAGGATCGATGAGGCGGAAGGGAAGTGGCCCTTTTCGGGCTGCTGAGCTACAGGAAGACCAACGGTGACGGGTAATCTACGACGACGGCTGATAAGAAGCACCATACGTTCGTGCTCGACTTACCAAAAGACGAATCATCGGTTGGCGATGAAGACGCCCATCCCATCTCTACCACCCGTTGCAGACCCGGCCTTCGCCCTGCCGACTAAAAGCGTTGCCACACTGGCGGAAACAGGGAAAGCCGCGATGCGCTCGACGACGCTGACTCCCCGGCGCCGGGCCGGTCTCATCCCTCCCGCCTCGGTGGCCGTCGCCGCGTCGTGCTCTCACCTTGAACAGCACGGCGTGGTAGCAGTACACGTCGAGCGGCATCAGGCTGTCCTGGGCGAACCGGCGGCCCGCCTGCGCCATCGCCCGCGCCTCGGCATCGTGCGCCTGCGCCCACTCCAGCCTGCGACGTCAGTTCAGTTCAGGTCAGGTCATGTCAGATCAGGTCAGGTTAGGTCAGAACAAATCGGGTCGGATCAGGCCGGGTGACGTCGGGTCATGTCACGGTAGCACGGCTCGGCGCGTTTCCCGACACACCGCTCGAGCTGAGAGTCGCCCGCGCACGGGCGCCGCCTCCCCGGCCGCCGAGGAGCCGGTCGGCCAGTCGGGGCTTCAGCTTCCCGCTGCGGCTGCTCCGTCACGCGCCGGACAGGTCCCGGTGATCAGTTTCAATCCCGCGGCTCCCGGAGCCGAAATAGCCGGCCGCCGCACTCGACCCTCCAGCCGAGGATGAAATCTGACATGCTGACTGATGGCGGCGCGGCGCCGACGGCCGACGCCGCCGACGGGATTTTAAATTGAGAATTACTGCTCCTGGCCGGATGAGAGGGCTTGCGGTCCCGGACCCGGGTGCCGATGTCGGACTCGGAGAAGTCCCAGCGTCCCGGGGTTTTCCGGGAGCGCGTTCCGTAGGCTGCCGCGTCCCGGCCGTACACTTCCTCCAGCTGCACCCGGGCCGAGGGTCAAACTTGGTTAGCTCTAGGGCGCCCGTGTCAGACTCTAAAGGCAAGGGGCGCCAGGGCAGTGCTGCGGGGTACCCGTGTCCCAGGCCCTTTTGAGATGGAAGGCTCTGGGTCCCAGTGACATATACTGCGGCCTCTGGCATGATCGTCCCAGGCTCGGGCTTCAGAGCGGTGGATTTGGTCGTCGCCGCGTGTCTAATTCCCCGCAGAATAGCCACATCGGTTTCTCGGCACCATCACCATCCCCTCCCCTCCACCATCGCCATAAATGAGCAATGGTGCAGGGGAGGGAGGAAGGTAACTGATTGCCTTGAGTAGGAGGTGCTCGCCTTACTTGGGAATCTTGCTTTTGACCGCTGAAGTGTTGCAGTTGTCATTAATATGTCCGATTACCTGGGTCCGTGGTGGAACTCAATCACCTTATGAACGCTGCCATCGGGGAGGATGAGCAATGTAGCTGAACCAGACGGCGAGGGACCAAGACCATCAGTTTGGCCACCCTGGTTCAGCAGGCATTACATCACGACAGAGAGCACGCATCAGTATACATACACCGTGGACTCGAAATGGCAGAGCCGGCGAGATCATTCTGCAAAATTGAGCACTACACCTACAGCGTCCCATGGGAAAAGACAAGGTAACAATCACATCCCATCTCCTCAGAGAATCCACCGTCACCGCGCGGACCTCATCAAAACTTGGACGGAGGCCAAGTGAGGCACAGAATTGGCCAGGGCGGCGGCTTGCCGACTGCTCTGCCGGCGCTGGCTGAGACGACTTTCCCGCCTCTAACGAGAGGCCGTTCCGAGAATGGACCGCCAGCCGGCCAGCCGCCGCTGCTACGGCAAATATTAAAAACGTCCGGCGAACGAGAGGCCGGCCCTGACTGGTGATGGGTCCGCTGACGGGACTCCTTCCGTTCAGTGGCGTTCGGTCAGGACTGGCGGCTATTTCAGGTCCGTCTGGCCGCTCGACGGACAGCGCCGCCGCTCTCCGCAGTCGCCGGCCCGCGGCCGTCGCACGCACAAAAACCAGCCGCGGCCCCGATTCGAACTCGGGATCCGGGTAAACGGTACACCACTCGCGGCGAACTCACTTTTCGACGAGATCGCTGAGGTCGTGGGCCACCTCCAGGTAGTGCCGGCCCGGCTCCAGGTCATCGTAGAAGTGTTCGTAGTAGTCGGACTTCTGCTTCACCACCAGTGAGTCACCAGCCAGCAGGAACGGGAAGCGGTAGGCCGCCACTGTGCCGTCCACGTTCAGCTGATATTTGTACTGCGGGCGGCAGACGAGGCGTCACAATCAAGGCTTCGGCCGACCGGCGGCTCCGCGTTTTTAAGCAGTTCTCGCGTACCATATCAAGCAAACGGCTTAACGGCAAAATGCTCTGACGCCGATAAGAACAGTGGTCCCTAGCGAGGCTGCATGAAATGGGCAACGGAACTGGCCTCGCCCAGCCCAATAGAATTTAAAAACCGCTGGTTTGGCCACTGCCACACCCACCATCCATGGTCCGAAAAAAACAGGTGGATAATTACCCTGGTTGTGTGTCAAACTACCCCTGCTTACTTCGACACCAACATCACCCACGAAACCAGTCACAATGAGCCAGCTTTCCTCTCCGTCTTCATGTCGCAGCTGGGGGCGCAGCTCAAACCGTGCGGAATTGATACGTCGCATGTAGGCATTAAGCCACTCCCCGTTTGCTCCACCTTCACCAGCGCTCCGCTCCTGCTGATGACGGTGTAATCTCGGACAAGTTTAGAAGACTTTGAAAATTTCAATATGTGTCCAAGCTCCAGAAAGCGTCATAAAACTCCCGGGCAATATGGTGCTGGAAATAGAGTTTCGAAGCCATTATAAATTGGCAGCGGAGAGCCGTTTCCGTTGGAGAGATTAGCGTTCACTGTCCTGTTCCCTGGTGGCGCTGCGTGGAAGTAATCAGTCCCCTCGCACAGCCGCCTGCCAAATACGACCGTTTTCCGCCGCGCTGTCAGGCAGACAGCGCCCAGACTGACATGAGGACCAGACTGTAGCCGGCGTCAGACACCCGGCAGACAGACAAAAGCGCGAGACAAACCAGACCATTTGTAGCCACCCACAGACACACCCGCAGCGGGACGCTCCCCGCAGCGTACCCACCCAAGAAGTCAGCAAACACGCACGAACACCCCGACTTCTCACTGCCGCAGCCACCCTTGAGCCAGCAAGACAAACACGACAATGCTGGGACCGGTGTCCAGCACGCCGCCAGCGCCTTGTCCACGCTCGGTCGTTATTTGTGCCGCAGGCGGCAAACGCGACGCTGCAATCAGCGCTCCCACCGGCTCCGTGTTTTTATTGGATATAATCGACGCCGGTCGGCGGCTTCAGCCGCAGTCGGGCACGCGCCCGGAAGGCGATTATCGCGGCAAATCTGCTTCCGCGTAGATTTGGTGGCGACGCTTGGCGTTCGCATACACCCGGTGTTTATTTAAGACGGGGGCGGCGGCGTCTCCGGCCCTACAGCTCGTGACACGTCCAGAAACCAGCGACGCTCCTAACGAAACGTGACGGCCCAGCTGGGCGTTGTGGCGGAGGATCGCAGCACACGGAGAGAGTGAGGACCGCACTTGGTGCGGCAAACGTGCCGAAACGAATCACTGTGGCAAACGTGCCAGAATGAACGCCCTTCAATCACACGAAAATACAGTTAAACGCTTCATTTGCTGATTTCAGTAATTTACCATTTCAAGTTGCTTTGGCAGCTATCACACCTACTATGCTGAATTCTCTACTTATATAGGACCAAAGGCATGGTGAGTGGGGTCAAACTGAAATCTAGGGGGGGGGGGGTAACCTGACCAGAATTTCGAATGCGAAATGTAAAAAACGTGGATTTTAGCACAACACTGCAGGAGACAAAATATCACTTTGAGAATGGACGGAGCATGTCCCTGCAAGCACCCCAATGGTTACACCCACAGCCGGCAGAATGAGACAAAGTTGGGTAACCTGGTCGTCCGTCAAGCACGGGCCGCGCCAGCTTATCTCCAACATTTCCTCCCCATCCCATTACACAAACAAGGCAGCACCCCTGTCGAGATAACGCTGTCTCGGACTGGTTCAGATGAGTTAGAACTTCTGGATATCCCCAATTTCTAGGAGTCAAGTGATGGATATGCTTGGGAAATGTGGTGCCGAAAATAGCGTTTCAGTTCATTATAAGCCGGTGGCGTAATATCCGTTCAGCCGGCTGGACTATCCATGCTGTCTTTCTTCGCGGCTAACACCGTTGAAATCACCACAAGTATTCAGTCAGCCAGGCGACCGATACCAACGCCAGGCTGCGAACACCAGTCAGCTGACAATCGCGGTCACCGGCCCTGCAGCCACCCTCCGATAGCCTCAAAGGGCCGACAACAAGGCCCCGGCCGCCGAGGACGCTCCAGAGCCCGCCGACAAACACAGCCGTCGCCGGCTCACGAGAGTCGAGCTCATCGCGCCCGCCCGTGGGCCGATCGGCTCTTGTTACCGGCGCCGGCGGGCCTGGCGAAGGAGGCCGGCCGCCCGAGCTCGGCCCGCGGGCCGCCAGGCCCGGCGGAGGAGGCCGGCCGCCCGGGCTCGGCCCGCGGGCCGCCAGGCCCGGCGGAGGAGGCCGGCCGCCCGGGCTCGGCCCGCGGGCCGCCAGGCCCGGCGGAGGAGGCCGGCCGCCCGAGCTCGGCCCGCGGGCCGCCGGGCCCGGCGAGGTGAGATGTGCCGGGGCGGGACGGCAGCGACACGCCAGCCGCTCGCAGTCGCCGCCGCCTTCGGCGCGGAGATACCCGCTATCTCGGAGACGCATCGGCGGAAATCCCGGGCTGAAATTGAGCATGTGCTCCAGAGCGTCTGGGAAAACAGGACGAGCTGAGCGTCCCTGCGCCCGGTAAGAGCAAGCTAAGCCATGCGCTCGCCGATGCTCAGGCCGTTGGTGGACGAAGTGCGTGGTTCATCCTTACTAATTGAACATACGCCGGGACACATCAAAGCCTAGCCTGATGGGCCTGAACCTCGCTTAACGGTCTCACGCCACTCCTGTCGCGGCCTTACTCTCACGCAACGGAACAGTGATTCAGCTCCGCCCGATAGCGCATCGTTGCATGTTCGGTCTGCCTTGTTATCAAAGATAACGAGCATCAGTATTGCGGAAGACTTGCAGCTCTTTGAAGAAGAACGGGGCAATCAAATGGCCAGATGTTCAGTGATGACGCTCTGGGCTTGGGATGAACGATCTCACCGCACCATGGACAGCTATCATGACGCTAATTTGCATCGCTTCAACACAATCCAAATATCGCAGACACACTGATTAGCGAACCACGCTCAGTACGAGCCTCAGTTCGCCTGCCGCTGGCGCCGATTGCACAGCGACCGTTTCGTGATGAAAACAATGAGAGGACCGCCTACTGGAACTGCCCACGAGGACATTTCATTGGCCAATCCGTGCTCGACACAAGCAGCTCCAAGCTATTCGGAACACGGTTTGCCACTCTGCCAGCGCTTGCCGTCAGTTTCTGACCGGGAAATTCGAGACCTTTTACAATAAATCGCCAAACACTATCGCCAAACACGCAACACAAATTAGACGGGAAGCCAGCGGGCTGCCACGCGGTCGGCCCCCTTGCTCCCCCCCCCCCCCATCCCCAACCGTTTCACAGAACACTCAGGCACGACGCAAAGAGGGAACGGGTCTCTTCGACGGGCTCATTCAACCAAACTGGAGGGGTTTTCCTACGCCACTGATGTTGCCCATTCCGTGCTCGTTAAATGTGCATGCATGCAAGATGTGTATGTTGATGAAAATGATACATGGCAAGCAAGCATTTACGTTATTGATAAAGCTCCACATTTAAAGCTGTGCTCATGGTCGCGAGTCACGAATCATCACGACTCGTGACTCATGGCCATGTGCAAAGCTTGAAACGTTTAGTTCAGTCAATGAAACCAATGTTTCCTTGGCAGCGTCGTTTAGCCACTATCTCCTGGTGTATTGAAGGGCGACCATTATCAGAACAAGAGCTTCCAAATTTGTCGCAGCATTTTAGGCTGAAACAAATTCGGAAGGTTCAAATGCTGACCGCAAAAAAAAACAGGGTGATTAACACCATACTACAACTACAGTACATACAACTGGAGTGTCTCCTGTAAAAAATAAGTCACAAAATGAAGGGTCTTCATTCGTAACGTTCATTTTCCGAGTCCCGCCCCCGTCCGCCGTCGGTGGCCACCGCAATGGTCCCCTGTCCCCCCCCCCCTGTTCCTATACCCATGGCATCAGCCCTTTATGCCCCCCCCCCCCCCCCCGTTCGCCACAATGTTATCGGAGGAAAAGGTTTTTACCAAGAGAAATTGTCGCAATTCTGGCAGCTGTAACTCTGATGGTTGGATAGCTGCAATTATAAGCGATTCCACTGCATTGAAATGTACTTGGGGCATTGCAAGACCCCAATGTGGCTGGTTAGTGCACTATTCACAATGGACATCCCTGCTATTTTGTAATTGTAATGATGTGCGCATGGTTTAGGCTGCCGGGTACCCATTTGTAACCGTAAGGCAACCATCTTCAGCTAACAGTAAAGCTTGATTAGTTGCAGTGGTGGCATCAGGACATGCGGACTGACATGCCTGTGATGTGTGACTTTGAACTGTTTCTTTATCGCAAATATGTTGATCATCCACATGATGGTGTCAGCAGCTGACAGGCCCTCACTTCTAAGCTGTACGCGATGATCTTCAGCTAACAGTAAAACCTTATTGGCTGTAATGTTGGTACGCGGTCATGCTGTTTGATTTGCCTGCTGTGTGCCATACATTTTGTATAAAAGCAGAAATGTGTTAGTTATCCCGTGTGACAGTTTTGGCTGCAAGGCGCTCCTTTTAAGCTGTGAACAATGCCCTTTAACTAGCAGTTGTGATTTGTTACAGTGCTGGTGTCAGGGCATGCTGATTATTCTGTTTTACTTGGTGTGACTCTGATGTGGTGTGAGAGCAGAAATATGTGGGCTTTTCTGTGTGATAGTTTCAGCTGTTAGACGGCCACTTATGAGCTGTAGGCGGATGATCTAAAACTAGCAGTCCAGCTTTCTTAGTTGCATAGTTGGTGGTATCACATCATGCTGATTGTTTGACTTGCTTGCGGTGTATGGCTTAAATAAATGTCAAAGCAAAAATAAGTGGCTCTCATCTGTGACTTACATGACTGAATCGCTTAGAACCAGGATTCAGCGTCCTGTGCTCATGAAAAGACCAGTGACAAC